GTGTAAAAGAGGAAGAGAGAAAGTCATTGATGAAAACTGCGTCAAAATCGGATATCGAACATGGCCTCACGCGCCGTCATACGCCAGCGAGGTGGCTGGCCACGCTCACAGACACGAGTCATGGGTCTTCTTCTCCCAGATGGGCTAACCTGACCTGAATACTAGATGACTTGATCCACGCGCTAGATATGGATGACATCATCATTACATTTGCATGCCATGTCATCAATTAGTCAGCAGCCACATCAACAAAATGGGACCCACATGCCATGTCATCCCCCGCGAGCCATAAGAGAGCTGAATCAAGTTGGAGCCGAGCAACGATTTGAGGGGTAGGATCCAGTGTAGTTGATCCTATATGCAACTAGATCTGAGATTGAATTTGAGCCGCTGATCAAGCCAAAATTATTTTGATCAAATCTTAGCCGTCTGAAGTATAATTTGGATGATTTCAAACTTGCACCCAATTAATTTGATCATTTTGGATGCAATGGTACAGTTCGATCATTAAGATTGAGACCAGAAATGATGATGATGATTATTAAAGAGAGATTGCTCGATTAGGAGGCATCTAATGGTCATCATGGTGGTCGATGGAGATGAAGAAGAAGAAATCACACATGTTTACCTAATTACATGTGTTGAACTATTAAGTGAAGAAATTTTAATTGCCATGAGGGAAGACAAAATTGGAACACTCTGGACACCCGATGATGTGGACGATTTAAGGTGGAGAGTGGAAATTGATGAAGGCCAATCTTGACAAATCTAAGCACTGGTAGTTTCACCAGATGTTGAGAAATCAGTTATGAAACCAAAATATTCTAGATCACTTGTAATATAAAGTCGCAACAAAGCTAGCAAATGGTTGTATATATGGAAAGTCAATACGATAGATAGATATGGCCTAAAAAGTTCTAGCTAGGAGATTGGGTTTTAAGTGGGACCGTTGTGACCCCTCCAATCTTTCCTAGGAAGTTGCTTAGTTGATGGATTATCCATATAGTACTATTTTCGTATATGTAATAATTTGTAATGAAACTGTTGAAGATTAGCAGGATGATGGCACAAAGGAACAATTAGGTTCCATATGATCAAGGATCTGATGGAGTGGTGATTTCTCCAATGAAGTTAGATTCGGTGACTGTAATTTTTTGAGAGGAGAATTGATGAAGACCTTGATAATGGAAGAGAAATATAGTAAGGGGATAAAGATTGACACCTATTTTGACTTGGATAGGTATTGTCACAGGATAAACTACTGTCAAACATAAGTAAGGAATAGAGAGAATCTGGAGAATAAAAATTCCATTAGAACACACGGAGATTGTGTAGGTGTACCCGTATGATCCAATGAGGTACTGTAACAAAACAACAGGTGCAAGGAGAAAAAGTGTTCTCAGATAAGGCTCAGAATAGAGACTGTGAAAAGTCGTACAACAGGAAGTCTCTTGTGCTCTTGAGAAAGGCAACAAGAGAGGACCTTTCCAATGCATGCAAGGATGGAAAGATAAACTGTTACAGAATCACCTAATTAAGGGGGTGTGACCGCCTATAATGAAAGGCAAAAACACTAAAGGGAGTTGGTATGGGTAGAGTTGTTAAGTAGAAAAGTGTAGAAGCTCCAAACATAGAAATCAAGATGGACGATTGCGAGGAGTGTATCGTAACTCTCTCTTTCTATATGATTAGTGGCAGTGATCTCTCCCATAGTCCATATGGTGATAGAGAATTTTTGGAGTCACTTTGAAGCGTTCCAGTTGAAGGAGAATACGACCGCCTATGAAAGGCGAAGACACCTTAGAGAGAAGGTATGAGGGCCATAAGATGAGTTTAAGATCAGACCGCCGCATGACTACGAGTGAAGACAACTCAGATGGAAGGAGTGAGAGCCATAATATAAGTACAGGTTTAGACCGCCGTATGACGACGAGTAGAGACACCTCAAGAGAACGTATAAGGGCTATAATAGGAGCCCCAATTACAGAACGCCCTAGAGCCGATATGATGGCTAGATATGAGTGGATAGATGGATAGCCAATGAAGTGGCTATGATGAGTATAAAGATAAATGCAAGATTGACTTTCATGGATATTGCCCCCATGCTAAAGATCAATAAGCTAGAAGATATTTGTCTTGGACAATAAGTAGATGACTTGTGGAGCATTAAAATGCGACTATTAGGAATGAGCAAAGGGCATACGCAAGTTTGTAAAACAAGTTGACTCTTGTCAAGGTGGTGGACTCGATAATGACATTGTAATACTCAGAGTATGAAGACAGATATGGATCAATCTTTAATGGGCTGCCCCTATGATTAAAGGTGGAGAGCTACCTAGACTCTTAAGACTAAGAGCAAGAGACTTACGGAGAAGGCGTGGTTCCTAGGGTGAAACAAAGGGTAGATGCAACTTCAGGATGAGTAGACTCTTGGAAAAGTGGTGAGTTCGTCATCATATTAAGATACTCAAATAATAACTGTTGCACTTGAAAATAAAAATTTTCATTTGAGGGGGGTGTTGTAAGCCTTGGTGTGAGGTTTGAAAAATCATTCCGTACCGAGCATGGTTGATACACTCGAAGGGGAATATTGTATCCCAGAGACAAGCGTTAACACTTTTTAGATGTGATGTGGGAGACCATCTGGTTAAAGTGATCATTTGGTGTGAGCAAAAGTGTGCTTTGACAACTCTGATGATTGAAAGGTTTGGCGAGTACCTGTAAACTTGGCTACAGAAACTCTCAAAATAGTAAGCTTGAAAGAGTTGTAAGATGCAAGCTTGTACTAAAGAAGTAAGAGGACAATTGTCCATATAAATGTCAAAAGAGGTGATTGTTAGGATATTGTCATTAATAGGCAACACCTTTGCAGCTTACCCTAAGGAATAAAGTTGTCATTGTCAAAATGTTACAATGGTAGTTGCACCAATCATTGATAAAATGGTATAACCCATGTGTTACCATCATTTGTGCCATGATTTATGATCTCTTGTCTGCTATGAATTGTCTATAAATAAAAGTATTATTTAAGAGCAAAATGAGAGAGAGAGTATAGCAAAAAAATATGAGAAATATAGAAAAGAATGAGTTGTCAAGGGCAGCTAGTAGTAGTTGTCATTGCAGCACCGAGAAAAAAGAAATAGAATAAGGTTGAAAATTATTAAAGAATGAATAATTTTTTTTTTATTGTTGTAAATCTTATTTTTTTTTATATAAGAAATGACTTCTTCTATAAATATATACAATTTATTGAATAATATTAAATATTACATCGACATACTAAGTTTTCTGTGAGCAAATATTAATACTCACTTGTCTGGATTTCTCAACAAGAAGGAGCTGTCATGGCTGCTATTGGAAGATCCTTCTCTGCTGCTGGAACAGTTGAAGATGAGATGAGGGCTGAAGACAATTCTTAAAGAATGCTCTCGGTAAACCACCATGATTGAGAAGAAATTCTTCCGGCTGAAGCTGCCGTGTGCAGAAGAGAAGGTCGCTTCTGCAGCTTGATAGAGTTCACGGTACTGTGCTGGTGCAAAGCTGCTCTTCTAGGCTGTGATGCTTCAATGGAATCCGTGAACAGTTGAGGAAGAACGACTGGAATGCTATTACTAGAGAAGAAGTCACGGTGCTATGTTGTTGCTCTTGCAGCTGTGAGAATGAAGATCTAGCCTCTTCTAGTGTGGCTTGTAGTGAGAGTTAATTATCATCAACGTTGGATCCACAAGAAAAAAGGCCTGGTGCCCCCATTGTTTTTTTTGGAGGAATGGAGTCTAGGAGAGAAGGGTTTTAATTATGTTGATTCGATTTTTATTTATTTATTTTTTGGGAGAGTAAACCGCTGGTGTAGAGAAGAGTAATTATTTTGGGCTATTTTGGCTCGAGGGTCACGGTGCTACTTCCATGGAGGATGGGAGAGAAGGGTTAATTATGTCGATTCTCTTTGGCTTGCCACGAATTTTGATTGTTTCCGGTAGACTGGAGAAACTATATTTTTTTTTTGGTATGAGTGTGTTTGTGGGTGGGAGAGTACCTGGGTGTGTGTGATTTTTCTTTCTTTAATTAATTTTCTTCTAAAATTCTTTTTTCTTTTAAAATCTCTTCCCCTCCTGAAATTCTATACTAAAATCTCTCCTTGCCTATTGATAATAATAAAAAAATTAGTTAGAAGACAAAGTAAATTAAAATTAATTATTAAATTTTAAAAATAAATCTTTATTACTCATTTTATAACTTGAAGACAAAGTAAAGAAAAAAAAATTACATCAAGGGAATTAATTATGGACCTTTTGATTTAAAATTAGTTTGTTTAATAATAGGATTTTTAATTTTCAAATCAGTCCTTTTCTTTATAAAATTATAATTAGATCACAAAAATAATAATAATAATTTTTTTTTTATTTTAAATTCTTTGAAAAAGATGCTGCAAATTTTGTAAAAATATCAAGAATATATTTTATAAGTTTTTATTGTTTTTTGTTATTTTTATTTTATTTTTTAAAATTTTGTTCAAAAATAAAATCAAAAGTTAAATAACAATAATAAATTTTCAAGACAAAAACAAAAAGACACTATCACTGTCACTGTCCACGACAACTCTCATCATTATTAGCTTGCGATTTGTCGCTTTTGCACCTATGCTGTACACGTGAAACTCATACCATCTGAAAGTTTTAGGGAGAAATCTTGTCCTGAAATTTTGCCTATCTTAGAACACCTGTTTTACGATGCCATCTATGATGCCATTTAAGCTCGCCAATTCCTCACGGAAATTTCATTTACACATGGGAAGGTTGCCTGTGGCGAAGCGCGGACACCCTCTTTAACGTTCCTCTGAAATGCAAGTGAAGTACATGCATTGAGCTGAAGGTAGAAATGAAATGTGATGTGAATTGTCTGAGACCTTTCAATAAGAGCACTGTAACCCTTTTACTCCAAGCATATACAGGAAATCTTGTATAGCATAAGGATTCCATTATCTAGAACAAAAAAACAAAAACTTTATGCAGCAAGAACGGAACCCTGAAAAGCTGGGAATGCATTGCCAGTCGAAAGAAACCAATATTTACAATAAGGTCCATGGCATTGTATCCCATTGTGCTAACGGTTGCATAATTGAATCTGGAAGGCACAAAAGTTCATCTTCGTTGCTGGCTTTTAAGCTTTCATTGACATTCAATAAAGAAAAGTCTATGTGGGGTTTTCCCAAGCTCTTTGCAAGATGCACAGGACCGCGTCTTGCATCCACCTGTGGAACAGATTTTTTTCGCTTGTTTAGTCAAGGAAGCCCACTTAACCACAGCGAAAGAGCTTACTGGATTTGCACCACATAAGTGGTTCATGGCCATAATTTTAAAGAAAATTCATGCTCACTCATGGTGCCTCTGGATAAATTTCTTAATCTCTGCCAGAAATGCCTTCTTCCTATTCTCAAAGTTCCTGCGCTAGCATGTCTCCTAAAGGACCCAAATTCTTGACCCTCAAATCCCATAGATGTTGTCAACAAATCAGATTTCGATAATGGCACAGGGTGAGGGGGCTGTGAACTTTCCATGTTCTCACCTGAAACTTCATCCTTACATTCTAAATCAATAAGATTCTCATGGCTGCAACTTCTTGACCTCTGCATATTTGCTTCATCAAACTCATTACAAACAAGCTTCAGGGCCTGAACCACTTCACCCATAAAAGGCCGGTGAGAAACTTCTGGTTGCACACACATTGATGCAATTGCTGCTACTTTGGTGATGGTATCAAATGAGACGGAGGACCTTATAGTTGGGTCTACTATCGCTTCTAAGCCCTCCTTGCATGTGAGGAGTGGGCGAGCATACACAACAAGATTTTCTTGACCTGGTGGTTGAGACAAATCTACAGGTTTTCGTCCGGTTAGGAGCTCAAGGAGGACTACACCATAGCTGTAAACATCACTCTTCACCAGAAGGTGACCCATCATTGCATACTCTGGTGCCAAATAACTGGTAACAAGAAATAGCATATGATAAGATATGCGTTTAAGCTGTAAAACAAATTCTGAAAAATTAAATAAATAACCTGAAGCATGCCTTGATTCATCAATTCATTTCCTTAACTGCCAATAAAATGTATAAAGATAAATCAGAGTAAATTATACCCAAAAGTTCCCATAATATGTGTTGATATGTGCTTATTTCCCCCATCCACTGCTGCCTTAGCCAAGCCAAAATCTGAAACTTTAGGTGTAAAATCAGGTTCTAACAGTATGTTACTAGACTTGAAGTCTCGATGAATCACGCTGGGGCTTGAGTCTTCATGCAAATATGCTAGGCCCCGAGCTGCACCTAGGGCAATCTTCATCCGGGCATCCCAGTCAAGTGGATCTGTTTCCTGGTCAACTCCTACAATCACAGAAAAACAGCACAAAGTAAAACCATTTCTTCAAGAAATCAATGATCTAGATATAACAAATACAGAAATATTTTTGGGTTTTACCTACCATGTAAATATGATTCGACACTTCCATTTGGAATAAGTTCATACACCAGGCAACGGGTATGGCCTTCTGTACAAATACCAACCAATTTAACAAGGTTTCTGTGATGCAGACGGCTGAGCATCTCAACTTCTGCCAAGAATTCACGGCCACCGTGCTGGTCATCTCTCTTTAAGACCTTCACAGCCACTTCTCTTCCATCATCTAACAAGCCACTGTAGACAAGCCCAAATCCACCTTCTCCGAGGATTCGTGAAGCATCAAAGCTATTGGTGGCTCTCTCTATGTCATTCAAAGTAAATGTCTTTGCAGATCCCGTATATGCCATTGCCCCAGAGCTGAGGGACATAGATTCAGAAGTGGGCATACTTCCAAAAATTGTAGGCCCAGTAGCCCCTGCCAGGTATAAACTGGAATCTATAAGCTCAAACATTACAACAGATAAAGCTTGATTTTATGATGTAGAATGTACAAAACACAAGGATCACTATAAATGCAAGTTAAGCAGGAAAAAGTTTTTCAAGCGAGGATGCCAATTCTAACATCTCATTTTCCAAGAAATGAAAAATAAAATTATTTATCAAAAGAAAAGAAGAAAATTTTATGACATAGAATGTAGAAAAAATATTTGAAAAAACAATTTGAGATCACTAATTTCATTAAAAAAAATAAAAAGAAGATGAACTTCATGATTCAAGTAGTGCATAGCTTTAGGGCTTTCTAGAACAAGTTGTATAAGATGGTCAAAGTTTCTGTACCTGACCCTTTTACTGGTGAGGACTCTAATTCCTGTAGAACATGTTGAGGTTCATGAACCTGAGTTCCACATTTCAACAGCAAAAGCCAAGCAATTGCCATGCATATAACCAAGACAGTGAAAGAAGAGAGAACTATTACAGCCACCATGCTTCCACCAAGCCCCTTATTTTTCCTCCTTGGTACATCAACTCCTAAAGGTTTATTTGTCCTTCCATTGTTATCATGGCCGGTATATGGTCCGTCATCAACAGTAGAAGTGCTCTCAAGTGAAGGTGGAGATGGTGGAAGACCTGCAGGTTATAAGAGATTCAGAAGTTGGAAATCCAGGACAAGTATGAAGTCTAAAGTCTAAATGAGCAACTTTTATTTGAATGGCAGGGAAGAATAACTCCTACAGGCCAACTGTATATCAATATGGCTTGAAGTTTTTTACATTGTCAAAACAAGAGGTGATGAGCAAATATTCAGGGGCATGAATTTAGGAAAACAAAAAGGCAATATAAGAATTATAACACCCCTCAATTAAACTGCTTGAGAAAAAGCCCATATGGGCTTTCTTTCATCAGACATTTCAGCAATAAAATGGCCTCAACTAAAAGTCCCTCAAAACAAGAAGAAAGTGTCCAAGGGTAAGTCTAAAGGTTTAAATGATCCCAGTGAAGTTTGGCAAAGGTAAAATTTCCTTGAAATTTCCATAAAAATAAAAAGATTTTCAGGGAAGTTAAAAAGATGACCTGGATAGCGAACGTATAATACTTCATAGGCACCAAAGAGAGAAGGCTTTATGAGAACCTGTCTGTTCCAAAATTTCTTGTAGATTGAAAATGCAGAAGAATCATCAAATTTTACTCCTCGTGGAACCAGGTTGATGAGAACAGTGCTTTTCTCTAGCTCCTGACTAGCGGCATTTGCTCCCATGATGCGGACTTGGCTGTGGTTTAGTGCAACACTTGCTGCAATTTCCTCAGCTAACTCTGTAACCAAAGTGAAGAATGTGTATATTGCGACCCTAAAACGGAGTTTAACTTGAATTGGCCACACACAACCACAGCGTGATCCAGCAGGCGTATATGTTAATGGCTCTGAACATGTTAGTGATGCACAATCTGCAAATACCTTTAGCAATAAGCACATGCGTGATATTCCAAGTCTTAAATGATGGTGTAATGGATATATTATACTGTAAGGTATCTGCATATTTTTACCTTCATTAGGAGGTGGAGGAGGCAGAGTCAGAATCTGTAATGGTGGTGGAGCCTTCAACTTCTTCAAGGATGGATCAAAAGGAGACATTGCAGGTGAATGAGAGCGCACTTGCAGACATAAAAGATGATCTCAGTGAGATATTTGTAAGCAATCACCATAATGAAGTTACAGATTCCAAGATTGAATCAACCTTCTTCAAGGATGGATCAGAAGGAGACATTGCAGGTGAATGAGAGTGCACTTGCAGACAGAAAAGATGATCTCAGTAAGATATTTGTAAGCAATCATCATGATGAAGTTACAGATTCCAAGATTGAATCAAATACAAAAAAGTTAGGATCCTGTACTGGTAAAATTGCTTGCAGGTGATAAGGCAGGAACAGGAGACTCCCAGCTCATTGATGGAAATGGAGAGGCAGAAGGGCCTAAAAATTCAGAGAAATTTTGTACTTCCTGAGGTAATGCTTAACTGGCAAATTAATGTAATGCATTTATTAAGGTCCCATCAGGTTAGAGAATCCTACCAAGTGGGTTATATTCAGGGGGAGGGATTCGGTAGGATGATTCAGGAATTTTGACATGGTTCCTTCCACGACCATGGTGTCTGTGATTTGAGATTGAAGGAGAATATGCAGGTCTGTGAGCCCATTCGTGTGCAGGAGTTCCAAAAGATGAAATAGAAGGTGCAAGTGCAATACTTGAAGGCCTAACGGCATGGTGTGGATGAGGAGCTACAACTGGAAAAGATTTTTTTTTATAAAAAAAAATACATATAATTAAAGGCATAGTATTCCTTGAGCTAACCTGAATCTTAAAAGTGGAAAAATTATGTTAGACTACCCACTGACCTTTAGTTGGAGACTGACCCCATGATGATGAAATGTGGGACGCTTTGTAAGAAGGTGTGACACCTTTGTTTCCATGTCTTCCCCGACCGAGGTTGGAAGGAGCTTGCTTTGAATAGAAGGCAGGGTCTGTATCATAATATATATATATATATATAAAGATTCAATCTGTAATCAATTTAAGAAGCATCTATGTATTGTTTTGTGCTACGCAGTCAAATGCAAGGGTGTAGAGATGCAGCTTATTGTTGTCTTTCATTATCTGAAAATGTGTCTTTCATTTTATAGAACATAAATTTAGAATTGAACATTTAGAAACAGTTCCTGGCTACCCTCTTCAATATGTTATCAAAAGGATCCAGGGAAAAACTCTGCATAGAATAATATTGAATGCTGTTTCCATTTTTAGCAAGACACATTTGCAGCAGGATATGAAATTTTGTTCCCCGATTATAATGCAATTTCATTTTTTCTTTAAGAAAAAAATTTCACCTGGTTGAACGGATGGCTGTTGGCTTGGCCTGATTGGGGAAGCAGTAGGGGGCTCTTGGGGCATTCTGCTTGGTGACGGTGCAACTGGAACTGCAGCATCAATGAATTACCAATGCAGCATTACAATTTGAAGCACACAAAAGTGGTGTTCATCACATATGAAACAAAAAGATTGGATTACATCACATATAAAGCACAAGAAGATATAATTTGCAAGAGATTGATAATTGACTTGATTCCACGGGAAACCTGCAAAGAGTGGGCTTGGTGCAAAATGTTATACAAGTACTTCACTATGAAGGTTTACCTTCCCGAAATTGAAATATTTTGCGTGTGATTTGTCAATTTGTTTATTTCATTGAATGATAAAGAACAGCTCAACTTCAGAGACTTCGCCAGCAAACCTATAGAAACAGCATAGTATTGAAGGCTCGGGGAACACGCGTCAATTATATCTTCAACTTGTTGGCAAGCAATGGAAAAGAAAATGTGTAAAACATGTCACACCCCGATGATTAAAGCTCCATGGCTATTGAGGGAAAGGTGGCATAGAATGCTTATGGTAAACTGAATTGTGAGGTACATCATCAACCATTATAAAGCTGATTGTTCCATGGCTATTGAAAGAAGGGAGGCGTAGAATGCTTATGGTAAACTGAATTGTGAGGTACATCATCAACCATTATAAAGCTGATTGTTCCATGGCTATTGAGGGAAAGGTGGCGTAGAATGCTTATGGTAAACTGAATTGTGAGGTACAACATCAACCATTATAAAGCTGATTGTATAACATATAATTAAATCTAGAACCTGCAAAGATACCGCTTAGCTGATTTTCACGACAAATACATGCTCTTTCAGTTATATTCTGATTGCAAGATCAAGAAAAGTCTTATTGTATTGGTTCTAGTACTTTTTGTATTATCATTTAGTGGTCAAGACAGTGATAAATGATAAATTTTTCAAGCTTTAATTAGTGTCCGGGAAGCTAAGAGCTACGATAATGCATTTAATGCTGCAAATGCTGTTAACTCTGTTAGAATGATAAAGGCTGCATAAGCTGCGCAGCAGCTTTCAAACCATAAGATCAGATAATGAAGTACATTGATGAACCTATGGGTGGTTTTCGTTTGTGATTGTAGACTGGTAACATATATTCATGAAGATGCTAACAACGACAGCTCACTGCTCAGAGCTCACTGCCTGGCAGTAACAAGCAAAAGCAGGGATTTTGGAATGACCTCCACAGTTTAATGGCATTTTCAAAGCTGATTGGGTAAACAATAAATCTTAGAAATGTTAGTTTTTTTTTCCTTCTTCATTAAAGAGAGATAAGGCCTGATTTATCAAATTCGTGCTCAAAAGGTAAAATTTGAATGAAATGAACTAAACAAGAGATAGATAGAAATTTTGTGGCAGTATTTATCTTTCTATTTTAAGGTTGATAACACTGATAACGCAATCAGGATGGGTAATCCTTGTAAGATGTAAAACAAAATCTCAGTTTCAATGACTGATAGCAGGGTGGGTTAGCTCAACATCAGATTCTGTGCAGAAAGATCATGAAACGGGTGCAGGGACAGGTCTGAGCAAATTCATGATTCATAATTCTCACTGTGTGACCTACCCTTTAGAAAATGTGTATCCCTTGCAATCAAGAGTAAGGAGGTTCTTGCATACAATGGAGTTCTTCTAAAGCTGTTGATCCAAGAAACAACAAAGCTATAGAACCCAGATTCTCAAATCCAGTCCAAATTAAAAACTCAGCAGAGATTAGCATGTAGTGTATCAGCTAGTGGGTGGATCAAGCATAATTCAATGCAAGAACAAACTACAAAGGGTAAAGAAAAAACTCCCTTACCTGGAGATCCAAGAACAGACAAAGCACCAACAACTAGGAACATGATCACCAGCAAAAAACCCTCCAGCTGCATCCCCATTTTCACCTGTAAAGAGACTGAAAGATCCCCTCGTAATATCTCTCAACTCTCACCCGACCATCCAAGTGAAGGAGGATATGTATTGAAAAAAAGTAGTAAAAACTCAAATGGCATTACGATACAAAACATGAGTAGAAGACTTGAAGGAACAAACTACCCTACAGTGTACATGTCACAACTTACACTACTTCAAAAGAAAAGAAGAGACCCACCCATATAGTAAAAGAGAAGTAATGAGTTGATGAACTAAAAGCACACAAAGAATGAGTTAGGTGGGGAGAACCGACAAAGAGTACATGGCTCTCCTTTTCCTTTCCCCCTCAGACTAATAAGAAATGAAGTTTTGCCTTTGTTTTGTTATTAGAACTGATCAAAGCTTAAAAGGCGACACAGTACCCTTAAAACAACTGGGTGGGTGGCACTTTAAGTTTAAAAGGTTGGAGAGTTCCACGAGGTTAGTGGATGTGTGGGATCATTTCATGGCTGAAAGTTATCGGTGCGTTGAATTGTTTGATATAAGAATTGCTGACTTCTTTTTCAGCTGATAGTGGCAAAATGATCTCTAAAAGCACTCTTATCTGTGGAAGTATTAATGTTTTTTTGCTAAAGTTAGGTTTGTTTTGACTCCCTCTCTGTGATTAGTGCTAAATTATTGATTTTTTCAATCTGTCGTGGTTTGAATGGGAACTGTGCCATCAAGTCAAACTAGTTTTCTTCTTTCTATTTTTTTTTATTGACGTTATTTTTTCTTCAAACTTTATTTTATAGGTGGTTAACTTTTCCTCAGTAACTATAATGAGTTTAGCTGTTAATTTAGTGTGTGTGTATATATATATATATATATAATGTTAAGTTGATAAAAAATTAAATTTTATTATTTATTTTTCAAGAAATTATCTTAATTTTATGACTCGTATTATAAATTTGATAAATTAATCTAGTTGATTTAAATTTTTTATTTATTTTCATTCTTCAATAAAAAAATTCATTATAAATTAAGTTTTATAATTTATTTTGATTTTTTTAAGTTATCGTAATCATATGACTCAAATTATATATAAGTTATTCTAGATAAACTCATATTGTTTTATTATGTATTATTTATAAATTGAATTTATTTATAATTTAATTTTCAACCTTTAATAATAGAATTATTAAAAAATATATTTTATAATTTATTTTATTATACTTCTTCTAAGAATTTATTTTACAAGAATAATGTAACACTAGCAAGATGATTTTTTACCTGTTTAAAAAAAAAAAATTCATCTAACCTGCATTACAGGTATAATAACTATCTAACTAATATCCCTCGAGCACACTAAAGATATGTACATATATAAAGAAAAGAAAAGGAAAGGAAAGGAGAAAGAAGAAAAGTGGATTTCACTTTGATACTTAAAGATTGAAGTTTCATTTCTTTTATTTGAATTTTGACATTAATATCTAAATTAAATTAAATGGTATAACCCATGATGCTGGATACCCAATAATTGTTGCTTTATTGACAGTGCCCGAGAAAATCAAAGGACGGACAGACTTTCAGACCATGATCTTGATGAATATTCGATACAATTATAGCTCGGAGATTAAAACAAAAAAGATTGTTTATTTATATTGCATTTCAAATCAAGCACGCAGCATGTATCAACGTCATGCTGCAGTATAATTGGACGCCCCCACCGCTGGTGTTAGGTACTGGTTTTGGACTCCGTGTCGGATGTCACCTCCATCGCTAATCTTCTCTTTCATTTTTTATCAACTTGGAGGGCAAAAGTGCACCCCCATCTCCATGGCCTCAGCCATGGGATGTTGTCTTAAGCTTCGATTTAATGTGTCGGTGATAAATATTGGGTTCTTTTTGCTGGCCATTATTGCACCGTCTACTGCAAAGTACATGTGTGCTTCTTCAATAATTTCAAGGTTTATTTTCTTCTTCGTTAGATCTCCCCTTTAAGCATGTTGAAGAGGGTTTTGTTTGGGTTTTTGGTATATATATATATAAATTTTAATAACATAGTATCTTTAAGCTAAGAAAACACTTCTTAATTTACACAAATAAAAAAACCCATTTTTTATATGCTTGTTAGAGGGATTCAATCATTAAAATGTGTAATTTACACAAATTATTACACAATTCATTAACTTTTCATATATTTTCTTTTTTATTAGATCAAGCTTTAGATTCAATCATAAATTATTCATTCTAAATGTGTAAATGCCATGCATAATTATATTTGAGTGAAAATTCAACTTACAAAATTACATAGATGAACAATTTATAGTTATTTAATTAATATAAAATTTAGCATGCATTATATATAAGAAGATAACGAAAAGTCTAATTTCATCAAAGTAAAAATACATAAAAAATAATTGGATTAAGTAACGTCATGTATGAGTTTAATATTGTTCATTATTTATCTTAAATGTGCGCTATTTAAATATAATTATTGATGATCTTAAAATAAATTGTCATTAACCTTAATAAGGGTGATAAATTTAATAGGATAATTGTCAGTTTAATATCATATGTAATTAATTAACTGGTTACACATGATATTATTATATTAATCTAATTATATATTTATAATTAATAAAGGTTTAGTTTATTTATAATATTCATATGATAGTAAATTAATAAATATAAAGTAAATATAAAGTTCATGTGATAAAAATATTTTATAAATAAAATTATAAAATTATTATAATTATAAAATTTTTATTGTATCAAAATATTATTTTTAAAATGTTATTTGATTAATGCTCTCTTAAATACTTGACATTTATTAGAGGTGTAGAAACTAATATATATTATGTTCTTTCATTTATAAAAAAAAATAATTTTTTCTTATATGCTGAGGTATAAGAAATATCTAAAAATAATATGGAGGTATTTGTCATAAGATATGTATACTGAACTGACCAACATAAAAATTTTATATGAAAAAATCACGTATGTATATAGAAAAGGCTCACGTGATAGTTATATTAGCGATCCTTAGACTTGATATCACTAAGTTATATTATACATAGCATGTTATGTTTTGTTTATGTTACATGTTATCTTAATTGAGGTAATGAAAGTAAAGACATTAGGTATAATATGAACTATATAAAGGTATTTAAGTGATCAAGAGATGATTTATCATTCTATGTGAATTAGGAGAAATATTTCATCTATTCTTAAGTAGTATGAACTAGGAAATCCTTAGCCAAACATGGAATGAGATTTGAAACCCTTTTCAAATATTATTTAAAGAATTAATGACTATTATGTAGAGAATAAACATGATTTTATATGGCAGATATATGAAATGCTTTAATAGTACATCAGAATATTATTGATGAAATGATATTAATTACATTGAGAAACTTAAAATGTTTAGTCAAATCACTAATAACTTTTTTAATATTTGAGAGATCATAACACGTTGCTAGATGATATATCTAATTTTTAAATATAAATTAATCAATTGTTAAATTGATAATAAATTAAAATTTTTAATTTATTTAATTACAATTAAAATTTATATTTGAGCCAACATATTAGAAACTTAACACACTTTGAGAACCATTAGATATAAATTAAGTTGGATTGATTTAATTAAGTATAACTTAATTAAAATATATTTTAGAAATTAAGGATTACAATATAATTAAAACATTAAGTACATTTATAAACCTAGAAAAATCAAGCAAGGACTTGACTGATTTAATTTTTAAAAAAATTCTAAATAAATATATGGACATTATTTTAGGAGGAAAATTAATATTTTGCTAATTTATAAGATTTTTTACATTTTTGACAGATTGATATTTTGCTAATTTATAAGGTTTTTTAGAATTTTCTATAAATAGTAAGTTATATTTCTTATTTTTAATAGAGCAAGGTTGCTATTAGAAAGAAAAATGACATAAACATGGATATTTCTCACTTGTGTTATGTGTGTAGTATTGTTGGAAGTTGAATAATTGGATAGCTTGTGGTTTATGATAAATCATCCTTTAAAGAATTGTTCAAGTAATAAATACATAAACAATTCTAGATCTGTCTAACGAGATTTTAGAGATTTTTGAATAATTTTATTTTGTTATCTCCACTGCGTGTATGATATTCGTGAAACCTAACAGTGGTATAAAAGCTATCATTAGATGAATAGGGTTTTTAATTGCATGTTTTCATTGTTATTGGTGTAAGTTTCAAATTAATTGTAAGTGCAAAAATTATTTTTCCCAAAGTTAAAACAAGGTTTATGATTGATTTAGGAGGCTTATGTAATACGGTAGCCATCTTTTATATTTATATGAGTAGGGCAAAATACAATAGTTAGTGTGTAGCGCACTATGTAATATAACGATATACAAGGAAAATATAATCTTCCCTTTAAACTACAACATATTCCATAACACACCCCTGAAGCTAAATGTGGGTGGTCCATTTGAAACTTGGACAGTAAATAGAAAAATGTAGTGTGAGGAAACGGCTTAGTAAGAGCATCAACTAATTAGCTTTTGGAGGGTATGAAGCGAATATGTATCTTCTTTTTGGCAACTTTATCATGAACAAAGTAATAATCAATCTCAATATGTTTAGTACGTGCATGAAACACTAGATTAGCAGATAAAAAAGTAGCATCTAAATTGTCGTACCAAATGGTGGTAACAAAACTAGGAGAGAAGCATAAATCTAAAAGCAGATAATGAAGTAAAAAAACCTCAACAGTACCATCAATTAAGGCCTTATATTCTGCTTTAGTGGAGAAGTGAACAATAGTATGTTGCTTACTAGATTTCTATGAAATGGGAGTGGTGCCAGGAAAGACGATATAGCTATTAGTAGATTTTCAATCATCAATACTCCCTACCCTGTTAACATCAATAAAACCATGCAGTGATAAGGAGGAGCCTCAAGTAAGGTGAAGGGGATATACCTTTTAATTACTATAGAATACGTTTGACAACATTTTAATGGCTCTTAGTAGGCATGCATAAACTAACAAACTTTGTTAAAAGCATAATAAATGTCTTATCTAGTAAATGTGAGATACTAAAGAGCCTCAACAATTTGCTAATAATGAGTGAGCTCTGAGTATAAACCACTAGGCTGGAGATTGACATTGGAAATAGAAGCCGGTGTAACAATAGACTTGTAGGATGACATTCCAGCCTAACTAAGAATATTAAAAGAATATTTGTGTTGACTAAGCATGAGCCTCATGCTGGTGGAAGTGACCTTAATTCCTAAAAAATAATGATCATGACCTAGATCTTGGAGTTTAAACTCTGACCTCAGCAAACTAATAAGGCAGCAAAGTAGAGTAAAATTATTACAAGTAAGTAGAATGTCATCTATATAGACAAACAGATAGTAGATATCATAGTTCACAATCAAAATAAATAAAGAGGTATCAACCTTAAAAGCGTGAAAGCCAATCGATAGAAAAAAAGTCATTAAGTCATGTGTACCAAACCCGTAGAGCTTGTTTTAAACCATAAAAGGACTTATGAAGGTGAGAGACATGAGTGGGTAGAGCAGGGTCAACAAAACCTATGGGTTATTGCATATAAACAACC